TATTCGGTTGCTGGCGATATGTAATATTTGCAATCGAAATTTGAACACCCTGGCAAGTAGTCATACAATGTTACAAGGCCGTTTGTTCGAAGCAGGACGGCTTTACGGTATGAATTACAGAGAGCGTTTGAAACAATACACCGCCGATATTGCACAGTACACCGTACCTATCGGTCTATGTAATATTATGTAATGTCTTAGAATAGATAACGCGAATTAGTAATATCGTCGTGTCAGCCGGCTCGAGGAAATGACACTTTATGCAAGAAGCACAATTACCTTTCCCATGCTCGGAAGCTTCCACCCAAAACCGATATACATAATTATGAAGGATCGCTTCATCGAATGATCTTATTGCTTGAAAACGTGTTCCACCGTCTCCGGAGAAATTACGATCGACAAAAAAACCAGTGGCATTCCTTTCACGAATTGGCCAAAGACGTGATCCCTCAATCGTTTCGAGTGTAGGTATATACTCTCTTTTTATTTTCTTTCTTCGGGACCATTGTGCCCACCATTTGCCGGAGAAATCAATCTCGAGGAACGCAACGCTGTGTGTGAACTGTTACACTGAAATGTACAGGTTGGTCACGATCCCGAACCAGAAGTTTTCCAGCAGAAAACGTGCCACTGCGGCATAATTACATTCAAATTGCCTATGTTTTGCCGTGCTGAATCAAGTGAATATTCTTATCACGTTGAAGAACAAAACGGTCCTTGCTAAATATTCATCGTGTGTTACCAGGTAACGTGAACAATGAAGGAGAGGAGAGAGAGAGAGAGAGAGAGAAGAATGGAAGAATGAAGGTTGGTCTTCTCGAATGCGAAGGTATTTCAACGCGATGTGGCGTTCATGGCTGCGTGATGGCAGCACGATACAGCTTGAATAACATAACGGAGGTGACGCGCGTGGCATTGGTTTTTATGGCCTTTTCTGACTTAATTTACTGGATACCTGCCGGGAAGGAAAGTCGATGAATTTACTCACCGTCCGAAGACATTGCCAGAGGCAGCAGGTCGCCAGCAGCTTTCAGCTGATCGAATTTCTCTATTAACAGCAGTAATCTGTAACACAAGACCATATGAAATTAGCTTATCACGACATACGTGATCAAAATTAGTTGGTAAGTAGTTCTTTTATCATTGATGATTCACGCTCTTCCAAGTAAATCACAAAATGGTCAACGATTTAAAATTACTTTTAAATCATTTGAAAGAAACCACCCACACCCCGCTGGCGAGAAGCCAGGAATCGATTTCGCCTTTTTCACTTACTTGGCTTGCGGTACATTGTGCTTTCTCTGTAAATCCACGCGCAATCTTTCACCAACGTGTCTGTAGATATCCGCTAACGTGTTCAAAGCAGTCTC